GTTTCCTGAAGGTCTTATCTAAATATTAACAAAGCCTCTCCCTATTTAGTATACAAGCACAGACATCTGAAATTCAATTCATTTTAAATTACATTAAATCATTTTAGGTTTTTTTCAACATCAATCCTTTGTGTGTGTGTTCTTTTGTGCCCTTACTCCTGTGAAACCATTCAGTTTAAGTAGGCACTCAGGCCAAAAATGTTATTTACTCTTGACTTAAAGATAAATCATATTACTTGACTCCTATTCAAAATGCAAGATTTGAAATATATCGTATAAGTCTCGAGCTATGGTGAACCTATGGCACGCATGCTGGAAGTGGCATGTAGAGCCATCTCTGTGGGCATGCGAGCCATCACCCCAGCTCAGCTCCACCGCAGCTTCACCGCTGTGCACGTGCCTCCCACCAGCCAGCTGATTTTCAGGTCACTCCAGAGGGGGGTGGGGCGCATGCAGGAGATGTGTGTCCATGCGCAGGAGGCGGGGAAACATGGGGATGTGGGGAAGTGAGGAGAGTCATGCGCGCATGCATGGGGGGTGAGGCAAGTGGGAGAGGGTTGTGTGGACATTGCATTATGGGCACTTTCAGCATGCAATGACAAAAAGGTTAGCCATTACTGGTCTAGACCCAAATACTTCCAAGACTGAAAAAGAAGCAGAATTGTCATTTAAAGATCACAAAAGTTTCAGAGTTAGTACCCTATGCCACTTGATTCATATCATCCACATATCAAATGATCACAAGACTTATGATGTAGAAATTACAATTGTGGACTAAATATAAAAACAGCCAAGAAAACAAACACATAACTCCACTGAATAAACCAACCCAGTATTCTCACTCAAGGCACAAATGACCAGGCTCAAATGATGCTATTTATGAGAAAATTACCTACTGATGGTAATTGGGATCTGGAATTCTATTATTAAACACTGATGTTGAAAGGCAGTGTCACATGACCACACCAACTTACAACAGCAGTTCTAGAAGTTCAAGTTCACATTGTTAAATAAATCCCATTCAATTGTAATGTCCCATTGCCATTTCTACCTTCTGCCATATTGACTTTGCTTATTGAAACCATAATGAAGTTCACAAATGGCAATTACATGATTGATAGTACTGCTGTGACATCATAATTGATGTGGTTGCCTGAATTGTAAGCCCATGATTACAGAGACATTGTGACCCCCCTCATACTTATACATCATAAGTATTTTTGTTCAGTGCCATTGTAACTTTGAACAGTTATATTATGGGTGGACATTAAATGAGAACAACATGTACACAAAGACCTAGCTCTTTGGAGAAGTTTAATTCTGGGAAAGGTGGAAAGAAAGAGAAGAAAAGGACAATCAGCAGCAAAATGGCTGTATCATTGGAAGGCCTGAAAGACAGGGTTAGCAATAGGCTGTCAGACAGAAAATCTGTCCTTATGATTGCTAAGAGTCAACGCCAACTTGATGGTACATAGTCAATCAATTAATTTGCAAAAATCCTCATTTACAGTCTTCAAATCTTAAAATGTTAGGTACAGTGTTTGTATATTGCTGAAGTGTCTAAGACATGTGCTCACCAAACTGGAAGATATTTATCTATGGGTCTTGAACAAAGACAACACACCAGCATTTTCTGATATTATTTTCCAAATTACTTTATTAATCATATTTTACATGTCATCAGACCTAAACCCTGAATTGCAAGTACATGTTTCTGAGGTATTAAGATTGGAGAAAACCATGCACAAGTTTCATGTAAAAAAAATAGTGTTTAGCAGGTAGGGTATTGGATGGTTATTTGGAATTCAGAATTAAGTGACATAACAGGTTTTTTTAATATCATGATATTCAACTAACCCTGACATTTTCTGTACATTCATACACCGATATACAACATTGTTTAGAGAAGTATGTACAGTACAGTTATATAGTTTGTCCACTGTAATGTTGAGCACAGCTCCAAGTTGTTAGCATAAAATTAACATCCATATTACATCATATATGCTATGATGCATTCTGCATTATGTAGCCTATGACTGGCATACACTGTCACATATTTTGGTTTACTGTACAGACTAACTTTCCATTCTTTGATGCCTGATATTAAAAACGAAACCATTGGATAATAAAGCAGCAAAACTCCAGAAGGTTTGAGACTCTGTTTCTCTAATTTTAATTGGTTGAAAATTTTTGAAATTATAGTCCTAACACATTTGAAAACTACAAGGCTTAGAAAGACATGCCTAAAGAGTATCAGAGTAGTTTGAGGTGTAAAGTCTGTTGTGTTCAAATTCTTTTTCTTCAATCAGTAATCTGTTCATAGTAAAAAGCATATTTTTATATGAATGAATAGAATGTGAAAGGATTAATTTACTCATGAGACCCAATCCACTTCAGATAGTTTAGAACAGTGTTTTCCAAACTTGGCAACTTAAAGATATGTGGAATTCTACTTCTAGAATATTCTAGCCAGCATGCCGAGTTGAAGTCAACAAATCTTTAAATTACCAAGTTTGAAAAACACTGCTTTAGAACAAAAAGAGTCATATAGATTAAGCAATTAAAACCACATATTTCAGATCATAATCCAGAAATAACTTCTAGACTTCAATTTCTAGGATTGATGTTAGAAACAGAAACTGTTAAAAAAATAGGTAGCATGTCAGAATGCAACTACACTGAGACCTACAGTGTGCTAGTCCTGCTATACTAGTGGATACAAGCCACCATGCAAAAATACTCACAATGCAGCAAATTATAGTAATGTTTTGCTAGATTTTCAACAGCACTGTGGGAATTTTGAATGGGAAGGGATACTATTTAGTTACATTCCATTGATATCTACCACTGATCCAGGAAATAGAAACAGAACACCTTCTAGTTCTGTTTTGGTTGATATTACCTACATTTAGGTCTGATTTTTTTTAATCAAAGATGCAAAGTAGAACTGGATGATTACATATTCAATTTTGTTTCAGCTATAAATAAAGCTGTTGTCGATTTAATGAAGATATAGTTCTATAACATGTATTTATATGAAAGTTCATTAAACTTTAAATTTTTCTATATTTTTACTATATTAATGTAGGGAGCCATTAATTAATAAAAATTAAAGCAGACCATTCCATTAATACAATGTGCAGGCTGCTTTCATTAACTTAATTTGCTGAGCTTGTGGAGGCTTGTCGAAACTTTTTCTTTATCAACGTATGCAAGCCATTCCGTCACAACCTGGAAGCAATTTTTTTTTTTGAAAATACAGGAAAGGTTTTGTAGAGCAATAAATTGTGCTATAAACCAATTTGATGAGCTGTAACCACAAAGCTTCACACCTAACCAAAAGTACATCCTGTGTACAAAAGTTTAAATTACTTTACTGTAAATCAAAATAAGAATCATAAATCTTAAAGGCATTTTTACTTTCCTTCCTTAAGTAGTAGTAAGTTTGGACAGCCATTGTTCTATTAATAAGCAGGAAAATATCAAGCCTAAGAGAAAATCTATTTTCACCATCCCAAAAATAGGATTTAGAAGAGAGCAAGAGAACACATAATTAAGTAATGTTTATCAAACAAGAAGTGAAATACCACTTTTGTTTAAAATCATTCTTTTAGCTATTTTATGTTTCACATTATCCTGCCCTTGGAACATTTCCAGAAAGATCTCTCAAGGATTAATTAATTTTGAGTGGAATAAATGATAATAGCAATTTCTATGATTGGAAAAGAAATAACCTCTATGCTTCATTAGCTTACTGCATGACAGGTTCCATTAACAGGAGTGGAGGGGAGGAGAGGGGGAAAGAGGAGAGGAGAGGGATGGGGACAAACCAGTGATGGGATTCAAAATTTTTTTACTACCGGTTCTGTGGGTGTGGATTGGTGGGTGTGGTGTGACTTGGTGGGCTTCCATTCCCTCCCCACCCCACTAATTTGCTTTCCAGCTGCATTTTCCTGTGCAGGGCAACAAAAGAAGACCCAGTCAATCACCTGGGACCTGGCAGGCAGAGAATAGATGGGGGTGGGGCAAGTCAGAGATGGTATTTGCTAGTTCTCCAAACTACTCAAAATTTCCACTACCAGTTCTCCACTAACTGGTCAGAACCTGCTGAATACCACCTCTGGGACAAACTGTTTCTATGGTTTCCTACAGTTGACTGTTTGGTTTAATTGATTACATTAAAACAGTACAGAAGAAACCACTTTAAAAAAACAGGGAAACAATTTTCAAACAATTCCAAAGGGAGAAAGAAGAATAAGAGAGGATTCTAGATGCCCTGCCCTGCCCTGCCCTGCCCTGCCCTGCCCTGCCCTGCCCTGCCCTGCCCTATATCACATATCCAAAACTATGAAGAGTTTCAGTCCATATTATTGAGTTTTGAATTTGCAATATAAATTATTTAGTTTAGGCAAAGTATAGTCAAAATATTAAATGTTCTGTAAGAGATGTTATGCTGAAACAAAACAAAAGATCTCATTACAACATTCAATCTCATTTTCCAAGCTATAATCATGTTCTGTCGTGTTTTCTGTTGCCTGATACAAATCCAAAATTATGTGTCTATAAATATATAAAAATCAAAAATATCTCTAGAGAGAGGCATAGAAAGTTTTGACATAGTGTATAACCTTGTAGAAAGTAAGTACAGAGATTGTCTTTTGTGAAAGGTATAATTTAACTATGAAAGTTTCATAGCGTTCTGGTTTATATAGACATATAGATTTAGGCAAGGATTTTGCTTTATTTAATCTTTATGATTCAGTTTCTATTATCAGTTATCCCATTGGCAAAACATCAAAATACCTATTCATTCACATACATGGTACATCAATGACAGAAAACAGCTACAGTGCTAATTCTATTACTTATTATCTATATAATGGCATAACACTACTAGAAAGAATAACTGAAATCTGATAACAATAAAGTTATTCCTTGGTGACCCTTTAAGGCAAATACATTTTATGGCAATTGGAGAATGTTCAAATTATTTGTTCCTTCTAGTTGAAAACTGGATTTCTTACACCACTCAAAATAAGGTTACTGCTGTGTCCTTTTCTGTAGAAAAGGAGAAGGGACAGTACACAAGAAATGGTGCTGATAATTCCTAGAATTACTATTCCTGAAATCAATGCACTGGTGACTGAATTCAGCTGGAAAGAGGATCCATTTGGATTTCCTACAAAGAAAAGGAATAGAGAACAAAGAATTACAAATATTTTGTAAGCCCTGAGAACAATCCAGCTAAATATATTTGACTTCTCAATAATCATAGGTAAAGAATCAATGGGCAAAAATAACCCTATGCAGGAACAGTTATAGAGATTTCAAGAGAAAAGAGAATCAAAATAAAATACATGTGATTTGGGCAATATATAAATTTAAAAATAAATTAAATTAAAACAAAATTAAATAAAACAAATGCATGATATCTTAGCCATATTTGATTACAAAACAAACCCATCCCAAAACCAAAGGTACTTGCTTTCAACAGCACTGTACCATAAATTCTAGGCCCAAAGGAAGTGCTATCTCAAAGTGTGTTCTCAAAGAAGTCATAAACTTCATTGTCTCTCTGGAATTGGCAGACTTTATTCCCAGATTTATTAACAGATTTATTTTAAAGATACTGGAGGTAAATAGGTGAAAAAGTACCCAATCATTTTCCATTCAGCTTTGCGCTCAGCAAAATTCTGGGTTGAACAGTGGCTCTGCTTATTAATCTCAGTTCAGTGCCTTATTTCTTAATATTTGGGCACAGCCACATTTCCACATCATTTTTTTCTTACCATTTACTATGGAATGCAGCCAGAGATATATTATGTCTGATGACAATAATATAAACCGAACTGTGACTGACTTTTTAAATGTGATAAGCTTTTTAAAAAATGGGATCTGATAAGCTTTTAAAAGCTACCCAGAAAATTTTAATTTGGGTGTTTAACATTTTCTGTCATTGAAATTAGCAGAAAATGTTGCAATGTATCTGTCAGCCTAAATACAAAACATTTGACTAGTAATTAGGATAAAATTCAAGTATTTCTTTTAAAATTACAGGAAATTTATTGCAATTGCTATAACTTACCAAGCTGTGAATTGTTAGTTGGGATCTCCTCTGTATGAAATACAAAAATAGATTCATTTTAGATTGAAGGTATTCATTTTCTTTGTGTTCAGACAAAATCATTGATACTTTAAACAGGAATAACTAATCTAACACCCCAAGTCTAAATTCACATTTACAAAGATATTCATCTAAACAAAAATTTCTACTAGAAATTTCAAACTAGAAAACTCTATCTATAAGGTACAAGTTATAGCTATTGTGCTATTGTAGCATTCAAAGTACAGTATGCTATAAAATACACTGGAATGAAATAGGGAAAAAATGTGGGCTTTTTGGTTACTTTATGGCATTCACATAATATATAAGTTGATGACTTTAGGGATGGTGAATAACTTCAAGGAAGATCCAGGTATATTTATTTAGGTTCTCTGCAGGATTCTGATCTCTGCATAATCTGTTTTTTGAATCTATGAGGTCTATGCAGGCACTCCCTGGTTGAGAACATCCAATTTACAGACAACTCATATTTTGAATGGGCTTCCTGTTACTAAAAATGATGGACAATGTTCCATTCCTCTTTCCTCAAACCAATGAATCTCTGAAGCTGCACAATTTAAATCTATTCCTCAAAGCAAAATAAAGTCCTTGCTTCTAAAAGCAAAGAACCCTTGTTGTTTTACAATTCTTCATTCCTCTAGGGGTTTTAGAAGCTTCTACTCAAGTCTTACTTAAGTCTTGAAAAACCCTCTTCAAATTATAGCAATTGTCAAGGTTATATAAAGAAATTTGTTCCCAAGAAACATTTCAGTCTTCTCCTTCATGAGAAGCATGACAATCAAAACTGCCTTACATATGACTACATACCTAGTCATATGAAAATTAAACAATAAAATACAAACATAGAGTCTATTCTTGAACAAGAAATCATTATTGAACAGAAAATTTTCTACTTTATATTTTAGAAATTATGTAGGATGATTGTCCTTACCAGTTCTAGTAATTATGGGGCCAGCAGATATTACTGCACTTCCAGAAATGCTCTGAGGTGTCCAAGTGGTTCGCTTTACCACATCTCTTTTTTTTCTATTACTGCAGGTCTAGAAGTTTCAATCAAAGTAATTATGATTCAGAGCAGGAAGAAATACTAATTTTCTTTGGTGTTCTGTTTTAACTTTTCATAGAAACTGAATCTTTAAAAAAACTACCGTATTTGCCGGCGTATAAGACGACTTTTTTGCCCTGAAAAACATGCCTCCAATTGGGGGATCGTCTTATATGCCGGGTCGTCTTATACGCCAGCAAATAGTAATTGGGAAGCACTGCGGCTGCCCGCGGCTGAGGCACTTTTGCGCACCGTGGAAACGAATCCCGTGAAGCCGAAAGGAGCAGCCAGCCTTCTCCCAGCTCCCAAGGAAACGAGGCTCGCACCGCCCGAGCTCCGCTGAGGTATCCGGCTGGGGCTGTCAGGAGTTGTTACCGCTGGCGCGGCTCCGCGCGGCTCCAGTCCCGCGTTGCCTCAGGAAGGGAAAGGCAAAACCAGGAGCCGCTGCTGCCATTGCAAAGCGCTGCCGCGGCTCTTCCTTTTTGCCTTTCCCTTCCCGAGGCAACGCGGGACTGGAGCCGCGCGGAGCCGCGCCAGCGGTAACAACTCCTGACAGCCCCAGCCGGATACCTCAGCGGAGCCCGGGCGGTGCGAGCCTCGTTTCCTTGGGAGCTGGAAGAAGGCTGGCTGCTCCTTTCGGCTTCACGGGATTCGTTTCCACGGTGCACAAAAGTGCCTCAAAAAAAAAAAAGTGCAAAAGTGGAAGGCGTGCGGAAGAGGGGGCGAGTATATAACAAACTATATTTTGAGTGGAAATTTTGGGGGGTCGTCTTATACGCCGGGTCGTCTTATACGCCGGCATATACGGTAAACTAAAAGTAAAACTCTCCTGCTTAAAAGAGTCTTCCTTGCAAAGAAACATTTGAAAACCACTGAAAATACAATAGCTCATTCTTGGTTGTTTCTTAACATATTCAGAACTTATTTTATTGTATAATGGTTATATATTGCATTGTCTTTCCTTATTGTGCATGCAGAATATCATATAGGAGGTTTTTCAAATTACTCCACATTTGGTTGGTGAATAACAGATGAAATTCAGGCTACTGAATTTCACTAATTCTATACTGCACTAATTCTATACTCCATCCAGCAGACACTCCCATAAAACCTAAGTAGGAAATTATTTCCATAATCTTACACTTGAATGTTCTCCTTTGTATGTTCCAGCCTTTACCAAACCCTTCAGATTACTGAGTTACTTTCTTTATAATTTACATTCTTCTACATACTCAGAAAATCTGTTTTGAAGAGTTGGTCAGCACTTCAAAAGAACATGGGGAAAAATGAAAACTTAAAATAAAATATTAGAGAAACATTCCCTAGCTATGGAATGTGTAATTCAAAGAATACTTTTTCTCTGTTGGAATACTTATAAAAAAAAGGTTAGTGATGAACATTTGAAAATATACAATACAAAAGTATAATCAAAAGGCAGGGATAACAAACTGGCACAACAGTTTGTCTATAATAAAAATGTAATATACCCTACTATGTAACAGTTGTTAATTACCTGGAAAGGTTATAAAACAGAGAGGGATGAGGTTCCAACAGACTCAAGCAATTAAGCATAAAAAAGGGAAAAGAAAGACCAGGCTGAGTCAAAAGAATCTCTTAGTTTTTGCCCTGATATATTCCAGGCAATCCTATAATCATTTTAAGTAATAAGCACCTTTAGATAAATCAACCTAAGCTAGGTACAAAAGAGAGATCTGTACTAGTTGGCTGAGATTTAAAAAATGTATACAAATAACTTCAATTGTAACCTTAAGTAAATTTGATTTAACAAATATTCACAGATATTCAAAAACCTTGAATATCTTTTATACAATTAAATGGGTAAAATATTTCAGAAAGTGAAATACTAAAATACACTATTTTATCAACAGCAGGTTTATTATTTGATTCACTATGAAGAGATTCTACCCACATATAAATAGAACAGTTTAACTTAAACAGAATAGCTTCAATCTGGGAGAAAAGTGGAGATAATAACACTACTGTAGGAGGGATGTTGCATACCTTTCTAAATGGATATATATTTCCTAGAGCACAAGAGGAGAGAGGAGTAAGTTTTCCCATCCTACTTTGGGCAACTCAAACACTCCTTGCATTCTGAACACTGTTCAATGGCCTCTGGATGTAATTGATTATACCTAATTTTGCAGCACTTCAGGAATTTATATAAAGTCTCTCCCTACATTAAATCAATTTTATTTTGGATTCAGTTTTGCTCACCATAAGCTTATTGGAAGATGAATCTAGATTTCTTCGGTTATCATATTACATACAGACTTTCACATCACTCTTTTGATATTTTATATTAATAATTTCCCAAGCCCTACCTTTCTGTTAAATAAATAATGTAAGAGTGGAAGGAATCAGCCAGGAACAACAAGGTTCACCAAAGCTAACAGAATCAGTTTGATTATTTCATTTTAGTGTAAATACCACATTGAATATTCATCTATCATTGAAGGTATGAATTTTATTACACAGTAGTCAACTACTTTTTCAAAAGATCATCTATTATCACCCCCTAATGTTAAGCCTTCAAGTTGCAGCATTACACAAACTCTCTAAAACATACTGGAACAAGAAAAGGGCAGTCATCAGCTCTGCACAACTTTGTCACACAATGTAGAAAAACCGCAGACATTTTCTGGTTCTTATGTTTCACAAAGCGGAACACCTCAAAAGAAAATCGGCCCATTTGACTCTTTCCATTTTCAATTATAGTTGTCTGAGGGTCTTTGTCACAACTGAAAAGGAAACAAATGAAACAAGTAACTTTCACTGCTTGAGTAATACCTCTAAAAAAGAATAGCATTTCATTAATGATACTACATTTTAGAAATTGTTGGCATTTCTTTCTACACACCTTCTGAGGATACAAGATATAGTAAGATGCAAGAACATCTGCCTCTGGAAAAAAAAAAGCCTGAATGGGATATTACCTAGAGTTTTCACATAAGGAACACTGGTTCCCATGACAAAGTGTATATTATACATTTAAATAAATGAATAACCTTCCTTTTGAACATACCTTTTTGTATTGCTTTGTTAACTATTTCAAAAGTTCAATATCAAACATATTGCAGATATACCATATGAGACAAGTTGTCTTGCTACAGCAACTCATCCTTAGGCCAAATACAAACTCAGAATATGAACAAAATTAATTTGCTTCATATTTAAATATGAATTGATATAATTCATAGTTATAGGATTTACATGTACAGTAAATGAGAATACTCTACATTTTTCACATTTCCCTACATCTTGCAATCAAAATGTCCACTTAAATCGTGTATTCAGAACTACATGATATTAAAGAAATGTTTGTTCCAAAATACCTACATTCCTTTTTATCAAGAAAATTATGTCAAAATCACATGTGAATTTTCAACGTAGTATTCCAATATCTACATAAGATTACTCTACATCTTCATATTGATTTTTAAAAAAAGTTTGGAAAAGTGTTGAAGTTTTAGAAAGCAAGAAAGGTAGATTCAGCAAGTTATGAAAGACACTTGCTCAGTTTCTCATAGCTGTTTGTTATCCATAAATATTTCCGTGATACAGGCAGACTCTTGTTGAACATAACAACTGTTTCAGCTATAGTCATGCGCGTGAAAAATTATGACCAGATTTACTGACAAATCAGAACAGAAGAGTAGATAGAATGTTGGGTTTGTAAGGAAATTGTTGCCTATTCAAGTGTCCTTTTAACTCTGAAGCAAAAATAGCACTATTTATTTTCATTTATACAGTTTATCTGCATGGCCATAGGTATGTATGTTTTTGATTGAACATGTACATGTGCAAGAATAATTCTGAATGCTTTTAACCACATCAATCTGTGAAGAACTGTTGGAAAGAATAGTGGTAAATGAATGAATGCAGACTCATCAATATGAGTTATAAATACTATTTTAAAATGAAACAAATGACATTCCAAGAATGGTTACTGCAGAAAATCTTCATATGTTTCTTTTTCTTCACTGTGTGGTATTATGCATTCAAAGATTATGGACAGAGATGATTATAGTATTTGATGCTAAGCATTTGACATCTGTATAAATAGTACTAAATAGTACTATAGTATTTGATGCTAAGCATTTAACATCTGTATAAATAGTACTAAAGCCTATAGTATAATAAGATCTTTGTGCAAATAATGGCCTAACAGCTGTAAGGCATTGTAAGCAAATATGAGTACATTCTTGCTTATGTTCTACCATAAATAGAATTGAAATATACACTTCCTCCAGTATTGGAAGAAATATATATTCAGTGTGACCTGTATCCACTTATACTATTCTCCAATTTTTTTTCCTTTGAATGAAATTCAAATTGGAAGCCGTCAATTGAAAATATTTGCTTAGTATATATTTATTGATGAAGGCAAATAGAATAGGTTAGACTTATCAGATTATTTACATGCATATTTCTGCACTAATTCCAAAGATTCAATTCTTCTATATGCATTACTTATTATATTACCTGATATTTTAATGCTGTAAATAATTATTAAATGAAACTAATATTTTATCTAAGCAATTAAAACTTTTGAGATTACTTTTATAACAATCCATACATTTTGTGTAATCCATCACAACCATGTAAATATAAACATGGTATTTAAAAATGTCTACCTAAAGAAGAGATCATATCGCAAATTGTCATTTGGATTTCCAGATGGAGTAGTGTAGCAGTAATCCATCAAAACATTCCATCTGCCAAAAAAAAAAAGAATTAACAGTTAAAGCACTATTTCTCATTCATTACAATCTTTCATATACTGTGTTTTTAGTAACTTACAAGATGCATAACTTTTTTGGGTAAAACCTTACAAATGGATTTGCACAACATATTAACTTAGGGTTTTTTGTTTTTATTTATTATTTGTTTACTTTTTGTGACTTAGCAAGTTCCATGAACCAGACCACTTGGTTAGGTTAGGTGTTGTGTGAGACCCTAAAATGAGTAATGTTAAGTAATCATGTTCAATATCTAAGGAGATGCCACAAAGCAGAAGAGGTCAAGCTGTTCTTCAAAGCAATTGAAGGACAAGAAGCAATGGAGGGAAACTAATCAAGGAGAGAACCAATCTAGAAATAAGAAGAAATTTCCTGACAGTGAGAATAATTAATCATGGACAGCTTGTCTACAGAAGTTGCAGATGCTTGATTACTAGAGGTTATTAAGAAGAGATTGAACAACCATTTGTCTGGAATGGTATAGGGCTGCCTGCTTGAGCATGGGTTGGACTAGAACACCTCCAATGTCCCTTCTAACTGTTATTCTGTTATGTGTTTTAAGTGAAGGTGCCCACTAAACTCTTCTGACTTCTGAAAAAAAAATTTAAAAAAAGAAACCTCAGCCTAGAAATGGAAGGTATGAAATAGTAGTATTCTGCTTTAAAAAACCCTATCTACTACTAAGATAGGAATCTATCTGTTGAAAGATTAATAGATACGTGCCCCACACAATACTACATTTTAGCCATACAATATGTATTTTTATCATCTATTGAGGTAGATTCTGCTTTTGAACACACAAGAAAATAACTGAATAAACACCTGGAGATTGTCTGGGTTCATAAATCCTATTTACTCAGAACATGGGTCTGGATTTAATATGATGTGAATTGGCTAACCACAATATGATGTGAATTGGCTAATCACTCTAATTGGCAAACCATAGTTTATAGCTTAGGTTAATATGTAAGCCCAGCCAATAATAAATATCCATAACTTTAAAATAATGTAAACTATGAACCAATTAAAGTATTGACTGAGGAAAGATTTTTGACAAGCCAAAGAAAAGCTCAGTTCTGAATGTCATATGTCATATTCCTAAACTATGTGCTCAAGTTCTTTATACATTTGCAGTAGTTAAAGCTGTCAATTCTTATTTAAAGAATTGGAGAGTATATATGAAAAATAAAATTTCCCTGATATCCTGATATGTTATCCATGATAAGTTAGAGTTAGTGATACTGGGTGAGCTAAACTAATGATCTGCTTTTATTAGATAGATAGATAAATAGATAGATAGATGATAGATAGATAGATAGATAGATAGATAGATAGATAGATAGATAGATAGATAGATAGA